AACCAAATGGGACTAGACCAAATTTAGTATCAGAGAAGGCATGAGCCAAAGAAAGATCAAGCTTGAAACTAGGCTTCCACAGTTTCCCATACATCCCTATGGGAGAGGTCAGAGGTAGGTAGGAAGCAGCCTGCTATATTGTTGATTGCTCCATTTTAAACCCTCCCTTCTTTTGTCCTGGGCACATCAACCAGAGGAGCCCACTTCAATTTTTCTCAGTCTGCACATGGGGGAGAATAGAAGTCTACCCGTAGGTGTATGCCACACATTGCACCCAGATAGCTCCACTGCTAAGAGGCTGGAAAAAAAATTCCAGAAGCCATGCTTAGCATGTTTTCTCTACCTTGGGAGACTAGAAAGTCTCTGTCTTGCAGAGAAACTACAGTCGTTTAAGAATTCCAAACATGTAAAGATTGCCAAGGATGCTTGATTAATAGCACAGGTCAGGAATAGTAGAGAGTTCCTGGAGGACTAGATCCTACAGATTCAAGAAAGCTAGTCTGTCAGGATAATTATTTTTATCCTTGCTTATAGATGTTTTTATATTTTTTTTATACTTACCCTTTTTTCCTTCCTCTGTTGTTTCATTGGGAACAAGTACACACATTGCTACATGAGCTGCACTAGGTGCCAGTTTGCTTTCAGGTTTAATTCAAGGTGTGGTCATCATCTTTAAAGCCCTTCATTGCATGGAACCAGATTATCTGAGGAACCATCTCGCCCTGATTGCATTGATTTGCCCAAACCCCATCAGGTAGAAAGGGCCATGGATCCTCTTAGTTAAAATTTTTGATTAGAAGAAACTAGGAAGACAGCTTTTTCTTCCACTGCCCCTGTCCTTTGGAATATTTTACCCCCAGAGATGAAATGAGCTGTCAATCTTCTGGGCTTTCAGAAAACTCTTAAGACCTGGCTCTGCTAATTAAAATGGGGGTCTAAGAGCCTTAGGTAATCTGGAGGGGGCTGATGGCTTGAGGACACTCCTTCTGTCTTAATTCCTTAACTGTCTTAACTGTCTTGTTAACTTCTTAATTTTTTTTTTAACTTGTAAATTTTAACCTTGCTTTTTAACTCTGGAAATAAGGAGAAACTTTCTGACAGTGAGAACAATTAACCAATGGAACAGCTTGCCCTCGGAAGTTGTAGGAGCACCATCACTTGAGACCTTCAAGAAGAGATTGGACTGCCATTTGTCAGAAATGGTGTAGGGTCTCCCGCTTGGGTGGGGGGTTGGACTAGATGACCTACAAGGTCCCTTCCAAGATGAACAGTGTAAAAATTTGAATTCAGTGAATGAACAAATAAATAAACATTTGTTGTAAGTGTCATGCTTCTGTTTCCTTTAAACAGCCCCAGGAACATTTATTTCGGACAAAAATCTAACGAGAAGCTAAATCATAGCCAGAAGGTTATATTTTACTGCTTATTTAAAACTGTTTCTATAAAAAAGCAGATTTTATAAAAGCTAATGTCAGACTAAGCAGAGGACAGGCAACCATACAGTGCAAAGTTATGAAATTCATGGCCTGAAAATTGCTTGTGGCATGCATAACACATATGTCATATCTATGTATGTGTTTTTGTGTACAGTCTGTATTTGTGTGTATGAATTCAATTTTTCAGTAAATTAAAATTATACAGGAAGATGGCAAAGCACATGCATTATCATCTTGACTCAACAATATCTTCACCTCAGTATGCTAACAACAACTGGTGAAGTGCGACACTGGTGAAGGCAGACAATAGACCCTAGCCATTCTATCAGAAATTACAGGATTATGATTTAATGAAATGAAGTAAAAGCCTCGGTGGCGCAGTGGTTAGAATGCTGTACTGCAGGGCACTTCTGCTGACTATCAGCTGCCTGTATTTTGGCAGTTCAAATCCCACCAGGTTCAAGTTTGACTCAGTCTTCCATCCTTCTGAAGTGGTAAAATGACAACCCAGATTGTTCGGGGCAATATGCTGACTCTATAAAACCAACTTCGAAAGGGCTGTAAAGAACTATAAAGTATATAAGTCTAAGTGCTATTGCTTTTGCTATTGCTAGTATTAGACTAGATGTTTTTCCAGAGAAAAGTCAAGGGAACAATTATCTCAGCGTTGTCCATTCCATGATTGGATATTATAATATATTTCTTCAAATAAGCATGATGATTAAATTGGGCTAGAATAAAGGAAACTAAGATTAACCAGGAATATGACAAGCGGCCAAGGATTTCCATCCCTGATTTTTTCATAACTCAATGGATATAGATTCAGACAAGAATTTTAGAAATGGATTCATCCATTGCCCAGCTATACAAATTTTCCTTTGTCAGAAAGGATTTATTTATATTTTCTGCAGAGATAGGCACTTATTAATAAACATTAAATCTGGCACTGGAACAAGGGTCCAATATTTTCAACAGCACTGAACACTATAAATATTCCCCTGTTGATTTATTTGACTTATACCCTGCATTTATGCCTCTAAGATGTGTTCTTCTGCTATGTAAGCCAAAGACCTCCTCGTCCTCCTGCTAAACAAAACAAAACCTGAGCTGAATAAGTCATTTCAAACATTTTTGTCTCACTTCCAATGTTAAGTCTTCTAGTGCCTGTTTTCCTAATTTGGTGATTTTTTTGTTCAAAAGGAAAAGAAATATAAATGTCTCATTTGCATGCTGAAGGGTTTTGTTTTAAACCTCCCCTCATCTTTAGGGTTGAGTGTGTACTAAACCAGCAAATGCTATAATTTTGTCATAAGAGCTGCGGTGACGCAGTGTTTAGAATGCAATATTGCAGGCTACTTCTGCTGACTGCCGGCTGCCTGCAATTTAGCAGTTCGAATCTCACCAGGCTCAAGGTTGATTCAGCCTTCCATCCTTCCAAGGTGGGTAAAATGAGGACCCAGATTGTTGGGGACAACATGGCAACTCTGTATACGACTTAGAGAGGGCTGTAAAGCACTGTGAAGCAGTATGTAAGCCTACATGCTGTTGCTATAAGGTTTGATAGTTACCCCACACCATTATAACAGGATCCATAAAGTCAAAGACATTTAGTGCTGACCTTGTGTTCAGCATAACTCAGTGTGAATCCAGGTCACTGACTATTTCTCAAAGACATAAATGTACAATCCTGGCTCTTACCTATATCCAGCCTATTAGGAAGAAAACCTTGATGTGCTATTTTTCCCTTCAGTGTCTCAGAAGTCATTCTTCTCACCTTTGTCAATTCAAGGAGTGCTATCTGGTTTTCCTGCTCCGGTTTCATTGTAAACAAAGTTGCCTCATCCTCCCATTCTTCACAGCTATATTTTTTTTAAAGTTCATCCTTGGAGGGGGGAAAACCTGTTTTGGGTTGTTTGTTTTTGTTATTATTTTTTTTGAACAAGTTTAGTAACAGAACAAGAAAATAATGAACATGTCATTTTCTTTCACTGAGGTAACAGGAAAGGGTGAACCTCTCTTGTCTTGACTTTTAAATATTTCATTGATAGAATAATGGGATCGTGAAATGATGAGCTGTCTTTCCTTCATTTTAGTCATGAGAAATGGTTCTGCCACTTTCCCCTTCTAGACCAAGTGGCAAAAAAAGGATAAAAACTAGGGCATTCTCTGGATAGTTAAAGGTCAGGTCAAGAAATAAGTATATCACAGACTCTAGAAAAACTTTTTATTGCAGTAAAAGAGAATATCAAAATTGTGAAAGCTAGTGCAAATTTCTCTCTATCCCATCTGATACTAAATAAAATCAGGGTGGTGGTGGTTATTTTTAGGTTCTTTCTCATGATGTTTTCTTTTAAGCTGGCTTCATTTTTAGCTGGTTTAAACATTGTACCCAGAAACTCAGGACTTAGCTAATGACAGGGTCTTAGTTAAAACTTTCATTTGGTGGTGCAAAAGGATAAACTGAGACAGTTCATCTTCTTTTCAAGCTTCTTGGAATGATTTTTTTACTTTATGAAAAAGTTTCAGTGTAATAAAGCTAGGAATCCTGACGTGGCAAGCTGTACTGAATATCTTTTATCAAAATAAGAGCTCTGGTTTCAGATAAACAGACTTTTTGATAAGCATGCCAATATGTTCTAACATTTTGTAACTTTTGTAATGGGAGAGGGGTAATAGTTATCTGCTGGGAAAATTATTTTCAAGCTTCAGTGATAATTAGACATTTCTTAATGTCAAATGTTATTTTTAATAGCAGTACAATTTCATACAAAGTATTAAAGCCAGAGCTTGCCCAAGAGATTTTGCTGCTTGAAATGCCACAACTTAAATTGTGGTGCAGAATGTGCTAAAGGAATTTGACATATAGAGCAGAAAAATCTCAAAGCATATTTCTCAATCTCTGAGGGCAATAATTGGTTGGCCTTTCATTTTACTGGTTGTCTAAGGCAGCAATTTTACATTACTTAATGGAAGGATTAGTAGTGACTAAAGGAAATAGTCATATTTTAGGAAGCTGATTGAAACGGCACGGAAAAATATGTAGGAGCTATAGCATCTTGAATGCACGTGCATGCACATGAATATACATGCATGTGCGCACACACATTACATAGGTAGTGTCTAGTGACTACAAAATCCTATTTCAGTCCAGTCATTGACTTGGAAAATAGTCTAACCTTCCAATCAACCTTGGGTTTGAACCAGGAAGTTTGCCTTCAACTTGAGAGCAAATTTAAGTCTTAATTCAAAATCATAATCTTTCTTTGATTGTAGTTGGAAAGAAATAGCAGTATCTGCATTTTTTTCATACAATTGTATGAATGATAGTTCTTTTTTAGGGGATGAAGTATGATAACATTTATACCTTTACATTCAAAACATTGTTACATACATTTTTAAACTGTGATTGCTGACAATTATATTTTTATTTCTTGTTGGAATGAGATGAAATGCTTAATGTTGCCCCTTTTATGACAATGAAACTTATTAGATTTAAAAAAAACCTTGCTTTTCATTCAGGATCAACCAAATATGTAATTTATTTTTTATTCTTTATTTTGGTAGGAAATTGTTGTAGAACATATCACACCTGTTAAATAAGGAACCTGCGTCTTTTGAGAAGAATAGCAGCAGTAAGAAAAATCCATTTTTGTGGAAGAAACAAAGTGATTTAGTTCCCTGTCCAATGGGCTTGTGTAAGTTTCAGGCTCTGAGCAATTTGAAAATATTCCAGAGATTTAATGTAATGAGTTAGTTGTAGAAAATTCAAACCTTCAAAATGTCTCTTGTGTTGGCAAGGAAAATCACTTTAGGTAAAATGTTCTGGAAAATTAAATGGAAGAAAGACTGGAACATCCAGCATTTTTCTAGCCTTGCATCTTCCTGTGGACTCCAATAAAATTAATCCTGGATGAGCAAACTAGGAAGCAGATTGGAGTTTTGGATAAAACTTTTACAAAACTGACAATGATCAGAAGTAGACATTATCCTGGATATAGATTTCCTGAAAGTGTAACATAACTTGTGGGATGATGGACCTATCTAGAACAATGCAAAGGATGAAACTACAAAGGGAAAAAAACAGCAAATGTTACCTTCCTCTCCTTCTCCAGAGGGTGATTCAAATTTTATCCAAACTTACTTTTTATTTCTTCTTTTGATATTATGACAACATGAAGAGCTTATATTCAAGAGCTCCTAGTTTTAACTAATGAATACAGTCTGCTGGCCTAATGCAACATATTCACAATATTTCTCAAGTGGCATATAAATCCATGGAAGTATTTTATGTAAATTATATATTTGTTAAAATTATTTTGGTATTATTTGCTTTAATGGGAAAGTCCAATAACATTACTTGTGTTTTAATATTCACCATTATGTTTATACTTTTATTTGTTGTTGTTTTTTCACTTTTGGGAAGCAAACACAAAAGGAAGCACATTTCTTTTGCTATTTGTTTTTTATTCATTTCTTCATTCTTTATGGGTGGGTGTTTTAATAATTTGCCTTGTGTCTGTAAAAATCAAATGTAATCATGTTTTGTTATTCACTGGGGGGGAGGATTCATCAAAAAATGAATTTTAATAATGTATTTTTAACAGGGTAACCTTCTGATAGGTACTTGGTATTGCTTATTTTGATGGGATATTGTTGGCAATTGTGGAGAAAAAAGTTCAAGTTAAGTGAGCTGTTTGGTGCATTTACAGATCATGATTTTAGAAGGAACTGGCAGAATGAGTCTTAATACCGTCACAAGTCTTCTTCATGAACAGTCATGGACAGAAGGATATCCCACATGTAATGGTAGGAAGTATTCACCAGTGGTAATCTATGAATAGGTTTGAAAACTATACATCTTTCTCTTGTCCTTGTGCTATTTGCAAAGTATACTTTTTATTTTGATAAAGTGAAACTCATTATATGATTGCAATCTTATGTTATCAACATGGAATACAGTCCAATTACTGTAAACTAAAATTGTAATGAATGCAATTATTTTCCATTCTTCCTTTTTTTCATTTAAAATATTAAAGCAAAAGAGCAACTGCTTTCTGCAAAGTGTAATACTATCAGCAACATCTACTAGGCAACTCCACCCAAATAGACAACTTCTAATCTAAGTTTCAAATCTAGCATGCGCATCATTTCAACTTGAAATTCTCGATCTCAATTCTTGCTGTACTGAGCTAATGTTAACTGCTTCTCATTGGCAAAAAAACTAACCTAGCCACCGATGGCCAGAAGTAATTTTGGGTGAGGTAGAAACCTTTTTGTTTGGCACTTGACTGAAGTACCTATTAAACTTGACTTTAAATAAATCCTATTCATATAACTAGCTCATTAAAAATGTTTTTCTCATTATTGAATTTAAAATAAGCACTTATTTCTGAATATGGAAATAGAGTAATAAAGGTATTCTGAGTCTATAAAGGTGATTAAAAAGCACTAAAATATGGTCCCTTAAATCATACAAAAAATCATTTAGGATTTAATTTGTAGCAACCACAGTTTTAAAACTTGACATTTCTTTAAAGCAATCCTATTCCATATGTTTATTATAATCTTGCTACTGTTATCAATTCAATAAATATCAATTCAACATTTACTGTAAAAAAGTTTCATGGATTGCCTACCAAATAACTAGAGTTTTTGTTTTCTAAATTCCTCAAGATTCACTTTGAGTTGTATATAAGGAATAATGGTTTGCCTTGGAGTAAATAGATAATTGTAAATCCCAAAATTAGAATTCTGTATGTTGATGCACGTACTGACTTCATTTTGCCCGTCAACTGCATTCTTTTAAAAATAGGAATAAACATATCATAGTCATAGTTAATTTTCTTAATGAACTCTTAATGAGATTATTGTAATGTGTTCCACATGAGGCTGCTTTTTGAGGATGCCTCCAAATTGTAATTACTTCTGAATTCATAATCATAGCCAATATCATTAAATATTATCTAGGTTGGTGTTAGACTGCATGAGATTCTGATCATATAATTGGTTTCCATTTAGTTTCTGGAAACTCAAATTACTAATCTGAATGTAGTTTGGATAAAGACTATTTAACTATTCATACCTGATATTTTTTCCTTGAAAATCCTACTATGGGTTTTCCATTGTGAGTACATAAAAATAGTTTAATCCTTTTCATCGGTGTCAGTTGGGTTTTTTCCCAAAAAACTTATTTTTCTATCCTGTTGCTGTTTGGAAGGATAGGAGCCAAAGTTCTGGATTTACATTTTAATTCCCAAAGATGTTTGCTTTTATTGACTCTGCTTTCTGCTGCTTAATTTATTACTTCACCTTTATATCAATGCTTATTTTCATTATTTATCATTGTCTGTTCTATGTTAAAGATTTTTTCAATAATTTAATACGTAAATAAAAATGAAACATTCCTCACTTTCACCAATATTATTCATGGATAGTGAAATGTTTTCTTTAGTGATTACTACATCTTTTCCTGCAGCAGCATCAAGCAGTTTTTTTGGAACACAGTGGCATGAAATACATCCTCAGTATTGGACAAAGTATCAGGTCTGGGAATGGCTCCAACATCTTTTGGACACCAACCAGCTTGATGCCAACTGTATCCCATTCCAGGAATTTGACATCAGTGGGGATCATCTGTGTAGCATGACTTTGCAAGATTTCACCCGGGCAGCTGGCTCTGCTGGACAACTTCTTTACAACAACCTCCATCATCTAAAGTGGAATGGTAATACCTTTCACTAAAATAGATATAGATATAGAATTCTTTATTGGCCAAGTATGATTGGACACAAGGAATTTGTCTTAGTGCAAATGCTTTCAGTGTACATAAAAGAAAAGATACATTCATCAAGAGTCAAGAATCATCAGGTACAACACTTAATAATAGTCAAAAGGTACAATAAGCAATCAAATCATACTAGAAAACAATATAAATTGTAAGGATATAAGCAACAAGTTACAGTCATACAGTCACAAGTGGGCGATAAGGAGTGATGAGAAGATTAATAGTAATAGTAGTGCAGACTTTGTAAATAGTTGGACAGTGCTGAGGGAATTATTTGTTTAGCAGAGTGATGATGTTCGGGGAAAAACTGTCCTTGTGTCTAGTTGTTCTGGTATGCAATGCTCTATAGCGTCATTTTGAGGGTAGGAGTTGAAACAGTTTATGTCTGGGATCTGAGGGGTCTGTAAATATTTTCACAGCCCTCTTTTTGTCTTGTGCAGTATACAGGTCCCCGATTGAAGGCAGGTTGGTAGTAATCGTTTTTTCTGCTGTCCTAATTTCTCTTTGGAGTCAGTGTTTGTCTTGTTGGGTTGCATAACCCAAATATATGTTACCTTTCCCAACTTCTAAACATCAGTTATTATTGTACTAACAGATTACAATTCTGATCAAATTTAGCCAACAGGATCAATAATGAAAGATGTGGGAAATTGATTTAGCAATGAATAGAGGCTTAAGGCTGGGAAAACAAGATTTAGACACAATATATAAAATTTTGTTCAAAATGTATTCCTCACATTCAGAAATCATTAAGAAGTAAAATGAAAGAGAAACTTTATAATAAATATCCCACTCAATTCATTTGTCACTGAACAATTCTGAATCTACTATATAAAACCTTGATCTAAAAATGTGAAGACTATCTTCAACGTATGCTGAAATAGAAATAATATTTCTGGTGGAATCTTTTTTATGATCATAAAGATATCCATTTCTTAATATGGCTGAAGGTCAAAACAGTTTGTTCCAAGGCTTAACACAACAAATTAAGCATTGCTATGCAGTAGATCCAGGTCTCAGAGACCGTAAGGCCAACATCTCTGAAAAATAATTTACTTCCAGTAATTTACAACAAAATGTCCCCATAGCCCAAAAGGAAGTTTTGAAAAATATCATACAGAATATTCAATCAGGTTTTCAGGATCAGATCTTTATGCTGTATATATATTATTCAAATCCTATAGTATATAAACATTTTGGGATGGAACCAGGGGTGGGATTCTACCAGTTTGCACCTATTTGCTAGAACTGGTTGTTAACATTCGAAGCAGTTCGGAGAACCAGTTGTTAGAAGAAATTACTGGCCTAATCCTGTAAGGAAGGCAGGAAGGAAATATTCTGGTGTTGCTTACAGAAAGTGTTACTACTTTAACCCTTATTACATTCTTGGCAGGACTAGGCTTCCTGTCTCAGGAAGTTCTCTGGAGTTTTTCCCCCTCCTTTGCTGGTACTTTGCTTGTGTGGAGTGACCAGTGGCACTGAAAAATGTGACTTATGATCATTTTTCACACTTACAACTGTTGCAGCATCCCCACAGTCATGAGAGGCCAGGCAAGGAGATGGGTGCCTCGATGTGAGTGATATTGAGTTGGCCATACCCAGCCAATAACATGACCACCAAGACATGTCCACCCAGTCACATGACCACCAAGCCACACCCACCACATAAGCCACACCCACAGAACTGGTTGTTAAAAAAATTGAATCCCACCCCTGGATGGAACACAAGTGCAAACTTATAAGCATACATTTTCCTTAATTCAACTCCAGGACTGCAACTTTTTTTTGTTTAAATTAGATTTAGTTCAGTGCAAAATTTTAGAATCCTGAGAACATAGGTAGTCTCACAAAATGGCTGCAATGTTTATTAAAGCTACAACAAGCACTAAATAATATCTAAATAGGGCATTCAGGGGTCTCTAACCTATATTATCCCAACTCAACTTTCCCCCCGGTTTTAGGGTTGTCTCATATTCTTAGAAGCATATTATAAATGTGAACTTTTTTAAAACTTAAAAATACTTTATTTTTTTCCAGTCAGGACAAGATTCTTGGCACACACTAAAGGCTGTCTGTAGTGCATTATTGTCAGTGAACAATATGTTATCTTCAACATTACTTTTGTTTAATACCGAAGTCTGCCTTCCCTATATTAGAAATGTCTGGCTTCTTTGCTTCAGTCAACCTGATTCTTTAAATAATATTTAATAATAAGTAAATCTGCTGGTATTTGCTTGTGAATTGCCACTTCTTATAAACAGAAGCAAGGTTAGCATGAGAATATCTGTTTTTTTGTTATTCTGATATATTATTTATGTAGCTCTCAATGGCATTGCTTCCTGTTGTTAATATATTCCAGCTGTTCTGGAGATGTATGGTTGAAATTCTGCCTTTTTAATAATTGCATTGCATATTACATTCATTTCTGCCAGGTCAGTGTGGAAGTGAAGTGTATCCATCACACAATGTCATTGTTAAGACAGAACAAACAGGTAAGTGATATTTACATTATTTCTGTTCTGAACAATTGCAAACCAGGAAAGAACTAGGAGAATGATTATTTAGAACCAAATAACTCATAATGTAACCATAATCTAGCAGGCAAGTCTAGGAAGTGGATAGATAAGCCCATGTACATGTTAAAAGACTTATTTTTTTTAATAATTATAACATTACTAACATTACATTAGCCATTTAAACTCACTGATTTCATAACTATTTGGAATTTCCTAATAATACAGTGTGTAAAAACAGTTTATTTCACAGTTTAGTATAAAGCCTTTCCCCCCATTTCATAATAATTCAAATTTTTCACAAGTGATCACAAATGATCCCTTCTTTCCTTCTGAGTGTATAAGCAAATATAAATTTGTTTATAAGGTAAGCAAGCTAAAGGTCTTCAGTTTAACCTCAGATATCAACTTTCAAAGAATCCAATAATACCCAGTGAAAGAGATTTTTTTTCTGCTTGTGACCCCTGAGAACTACTACATCAAAACAGGCAGTCTGTTCTATTATGGTATAATATTAAGAATACTAAGAGTGTATGCAGAAAGCTATAAGAAATTTCTGGGGATTCATATTGATAAATAACTAATATGGCATTGGCAACCTAGTAAAGAAGGTTTCTAGGTTGCCAATGTAATATAATAGAACCAACAATCAAAGATATATACTTTTAATATATATTCAAGCAGACAGATCCAAACCTAACAGTCAAGAAATTTCTTAATTATCTTACTCTTCTTTTTTAATGAATTTGCTCTGGTAAAAAAAGATAAATTCATGGAGAAATAAGGGAAGGTTCTAAGTAAAAGATCACATTATCCAGATCACCACATATTATATAAATAACCTACAATAATTTCTAAGTAATTGCAAATGATGTCCATATCCCTTTTCAAAAATATTTCCCCAGTATAGGGGGATTTTTTAAGCATTTGTTGATTTCAGTTCAACAAATCTGAGATTATTTTATTCATTCATCCATTAGATTTATATCCCACCTTTTTTTCCAAGAGGTCAAAGTTGTCAATTTTTTTCCCCACAGCAATAATTCTGTGAGATAGATTAGGGATTGATTGGGAGATAATGACTGGTCCAAAACCACCCACTTAACTTCCATGGCTGACTTGAATGACACATCTGACTTTGAATTTCCTCAGTGTCTTGCCCACTGAACCCCTCAAATGATTCTTTTGCATTATCAAATAAAACACCATGTAACTGTGTGAGTCCTTTGGAGGCTTCTTACACTAAGCTGAATGCTACTGCAATATTTTTGTACCATGCAGAATAATAGCAAAAACATTACTCCCCAATCCCACTTGGGTGAGTCTTTTTTTATTTTTAGAAAAAAACAAACAAACAAAGGGTAGACCAGGCATCTGAATGACAAGAGAGTTTGTTGCAAGGACATAGGTTTGGGATGCCCAAATACATAGCTAGTAAGCAGAAGATTGACTAAATTCCTATTTCATAAGTTTTAAGCTGGCAAAGCACAAAGGTTTAGCATTCATCATGATTCATTTCCAGGTGTAATCACATATTCATTACTTTAAAAGACAAATAGATCCCCAAACCTGCATTTGGAAATGGAAACAAAAACAAGGTTAACATCATCTTAAAAAGAGACAAATTTTTGTACAGAAGGACTAATCTCTAGCAACAGTACCCAGATGAGTATTGTGCTCATCTATGTGTTCTATGGGTCAAAAGATAAATTTAGAACAGTTGTGAAACCTTTATTTTTGTTTCCCGCTTCCTACAACAATATGCTTATTTCTTGCTATAATCCAAGATTATCAGGTTAAGATTTTAGAAAGAAAAGAGCAAAATTATATCATGTGATTGCAGTTGGAGAACATGCTTAATATAGCCTTGGTTATCTGTATCCCTCTTTGTCTTCCCAATGCCTGCAAAAGTTAGATGCAGAAACGAAGAAATGTGTTTAAACAGAAATAATAAAAAAGGGTACTTAGGTGCATACAGGATTCCTCCCTGCCTTACCAAGGTAGCAATTATAAAATCAGAACTTTTTAGAGATCCAAGAGCTGTTTCCAACTTTTGAGTCTTGTAGCCACAGTAAAAATAATAATAATAAAAAGAACAATAACACATGAACAGAAGTATGAGGCATCCAAAGAAAGAAGGAAAGGCTTTATGAAAATATTGTTTAAATAACAAAATAACAATTGTTGAAACTCGAGAAGCTGCAGGAGCTTAAAGGATAGAGTGCAGGCTTAAAAACGGGGTCAGGTGAAAGCCATGTTTGGAGCAAGACCAAGGAAGAGTAAGCCAAACAATGATTCATCAGCCTTTTGCCATCTTACTCACCCAAAACAGAGGCAATCTCAACATACACCAGCTGTAAATGCAGCCCTTACTTTGGTACAGCACTTACAGCAAATTCAAACTTCTCAAGATAGCTTTAAAGCATGGCACCTTTCATAAACAGATTGAAAGCTGTGCTAACAGTGAAGATAGCATGGGCTTACTTTCAATCTGTTCAGGAATGTGCCGTGCTTTAATGCTGTTAGAATGGCTTTTCTCTATCTTTGCTCCTGAAAAAAGCAAAACAAATTCTTATGCCCAATTGCACACCCTTGGAGATGAAAATGTCTAATTTTTGGACCATGAATACCATTCAGTATGCCTGCTTAACGAAAAGAATATAGGTACATTTGTTTCCACATGGAAACCACTTCTGAACTTCATGTTTGATGTGGAAAAAAAGTGAAATTTTGATTTTGGGTTTTACAGATTAGATAGATCTGTATAACAATGACGGGTTCATACTATTATGGTAAAACAAAAAGTTGTGATTTGTTGTTAATGCCTTATTCTACTGTAACAGAGAGAGCCGGAAGTCAATGTTTCTGTTTCTTTTTCTTCCCCTTTCCTTCCTCACTTTTCTTTCCCCTTTTCCCTTCCCCCTTTGTATTTTATAATACCTTATAACGTAATAAAAAAAACCTATTGAATTAAGACCATTCAGTATGTCTTCTTGTACTTAATAAAATACTCTGATGCTTTTGTATGTGTTATTTCTGTTGAAAATTTAAATTTTATGTTCTGAATATGGAAAATTTATTGTATCTAACTAGCAATATTACTTCACCAGTATTTATTTTTGTTCTGTTATTTTCTGTGCATAAGATCCATCTTTAATGACATCTTGGAAAGAAGACAATTATTTTTACGATAATGGATATGGTGGCACAGTAGGTAACTACCTTGATTACCTCATATATTTTTAAGCAATTCTGGAAATTACCTTGATATTTTTTTTCTTACATTAAATTTTTTTCTTCCTAAATCCTCAGAACTAGTGGAGAGCAAAGCCTATTGTAGAGCACAGATTTCTGTCAGCTCTAGTGGTCATCCACCTATAGGTAAGTAGCTCTAACATTTTATAATCTAGGCCTGATATCAGCATTTGGTTAGATCAAATATCTAAACCATATATATTGCTTTGATCAGCTAAATAACAAAATTAGAACTTCCAGATCAAGTCATCTTACCTTACTTACAGTGTTCTGTAGACCTAAACACTTAGCTGTAAATCAGCAAGCATTGAAGAATTGGGAGAGAAGAAATAAAGTTTTTGTGTAAATAATGTAAGTGACATTATTTACACAAACATTAATATTACATTAATGTAATATTAATATACACAATGCCATTAATATTATTTGTTAGGTTGATATTGAACTAAAGCATTTCTTTCTTTCCCTCTGATACAAAGAAACACAAATAATTTGCAAGAAATTCATACTGCTGGCACATAGGACAATCACGCTCTTCTCCTTGTGGCTGCAGCATTGGCTACTTGTTTTCAATTTGTAAAGATATGGATCAACCACCACATGCTTTGGCTAAGACCTGTGGTACTGAGCTGAGACACAATAGAGCTGAATTGAGGTGGTGGTGAATTAAGCTCCATGAATAACACTCGTCTTTGCATAACACAATGAAACACAAGCCTGCCCATTACTGCTGTGTAAACTCAATGTATTGGATAAACTCTGAAAATTGTGTTTCTTAAAATAATCAGGACATGCAAATATTATTTGTGCAGAAGATAGAAAATGTCAGTTTAAGCAGCTTTCTTCCTGCTGTCTTACTTCCCATTCTTGTAAAGCAGCTGCTACCTTTTCAAACTGTAGCAAAATTTGATCATTGTCCTCTGGTGTGATCTATTTATCCTCCAGCTGCTGATCCTACTGGATGGGGAGCATGCCTGGGTCACAGCATGTCCTAATTTGTGTATTCTGCAAAAAGAAGCTGGGTGCTTCTGAATCATATGCAAATCCTGTGCATAATTCTTTCGCTTGAGTTTTGCAAGATAGCTTTGTTGAAACATCTCCCTCCCCCCCAATTTGTCAAGGCAGGGCCTTCAAAAACTCCTCATGCTTGAAACTTTTCTCCCTGTAAAATGATCAGCTTTTGTTTTTGCAGTTGTGAACGAATTAGTTATTAACTCTGCGGAATGTGAGAAGCCATGCACACCTCTATTGACATATTGGGAATATATATATATATATATATATAAAAGCAAACCCAGGTTATGCCCAAAAATATCTCTGTAGCTCTCAGCCCAAGAAGCATATTATAGATGATAAATAATAAACAAACACTAATGGCTAACTTCTTGTGAGATATTAGAATTTTTTCAAGGGGCATATAATTTTTTTTTAAAAAAAGAACTGATGGCAGAAGGATATAATTGTCACAAATTCTATACATATCATGAACATGTAATTGCTAAAACAAATATACTTTTCATGACATTTGAAACAGAAGAATAAATGAAAGGTTGTATGAAAAGTGGGTCAGAAATTTTGGTTAAATTTACACATAAAACAAGGGAAAACATTGGATTGAAAAGGTTGAAACTTATGCTATATTATAATATAAATGTTGGAAATGTAAACAAAAAGAAGGGACATTTTATCATGTTTAGTGGACATTTAAAAAGCAAAGAATTCTGTATCCAAGTACTGTACATGCACTGATTAAGAGGATCTTTAATATCAATATATAGTTGAAACCAGTGATTTTTCTTTTGGGACTGATCCACAGACAGCTGAAAAGAATCATGGAATAACTATAAAATTGTAGTGAGGTTATTGTATGCACAAAGACGGAAAAAAATAGCATGACTCACAATGAGAGAATGGTTGGTGAAAATGTTGGAACTTGCTGAGATGACCAAATTAACCTTTTTGATAAAAGACAATATTGCCAACTAGAAAACAATTCTTTTAATTAAAAAAAGAACTTATGATTTATGGTTTTGATGAGTAAACAAAATAGATTATAGAAAGAAGAGATACAGTTTAGCTTAGTAGTTAAGACACCAGGCTAGAAAGTAGAAGACATAATTTCTAATCTAGCAGGAAAGCCAGCAAAGTGACTTTGGGCCACTCACTCTCTCTCAGTCCAACTTAACTCACAGGGTTGATGTTTTCTGGAGAAAATAGGAGGAAAGTGTCTTGGATAGGTTTGCCACCTTGAGTTATTTCAATAAATAAACAAACAAACAAACAAACATTGTAACCATAGAGTAAGAGCTAAACTTATAATTGTACTTATAAGTGATATAAAGAAAGTCAGAAAATACTTCTCCCTATTTTTTTCCTTTCCTTCTCTTTGATTTCTTTCTTTTTCCTTTCCCTTTCTCTTTGTGTTAGTTTTTATGGTCTTTTAATGAAATCTTTAAGTTTATATATATACATTAATAAAAGAGGGTGGAAAGAACAATCCTTAATTGGGCTTTGTTGCTTTCCCACAAAGTCAGCAGTTTGTATAAGACAATGGTGTCCTCATGTTGCGAGTGCAGAAAAGACATGAATGCAATTAGCTGAGGTTTTTGTTCTGGTTTTTTTAAAAGCTTTGAGCAAAAGGACTTGCTATTTTCTTCTGTAATGGTAGTTTATATCCATTTTCCTAGTATGCTTATCAGCATTGGAACAAAATAATTCAGACAAGTTGGTACAGAAGTTGGAACTGGTATTTACTGTAAGTCATTTGCACATGCAAATAGTTAATTTCCACTGAAAGCTGCGGTGACAGTTTACGCATGAATGTAGGTGGAAGAATGCATGTGGGCTTTATGCCTTTTGACACTATATAATGGCTGTGCTCTGATGCAGGTGTAAGTTGAGTTCCTGGCAAATTTCTCTGGCTAATAATTTCTTTTAGAGGGGGTTAGGTGATCACCTTAAACAGACATTCATTTTGTCAAACATGTTTAACAGAAATTATCTATTTCTCTGTATACATGTTCTATTATTGGTATAGGTTTATAACATGTAAATTATCAACATAGTAAACTGATTATCATTTTGGCAAATGTGATCAGTCAAAACCAACTACCAGCTTTAGATTGGTACATAAACAGTCAGGGTTCAGGAGCTACTCCTTACTATCACATTGATTGAAAGGCAACTATAGAAGATCTGTATCTAAAACCTACAGTTACAAATTAGACCTATTAAATGCAAAATCCCTTGAACATAATATGATATGCAAATGAGAGAAAAACAGGTCTCTAAATTTGTTGGTTTGAAGAATTTCCAGTAACACTGGCTTTTGTTCTTCTGGATTTGACTTTTTTCATTACCTCAGAAACAGCTCTTTGCCAGGTCATCTGTTGATGTTATACATTTCCTTTATATGAAAGAAATCAAAGATATATGTAGTCCTTGTTTAAGCAATCAGAACTGGGACTAGCAACTTGGTCATTAAACTTCACTAATTGAAGCTCATGTTTTACTTCAGCTTTCCTTTGTCTTAAAGACTTACAAAGATCATAAATATTAGAATTGATTGTCAAGTTATTTTTGATCACAGTTGTAACTGTAATTGGTCCCTAACTGGACTATGTATATATACTATTATAACAAATAACAAAATATAATACAAAGGTTTAAAACTTTTGCTGAATTTCTTGTCTGATCTTGTCTGAGGGAATATTTTGCCTCCATTTTTTGTAATACGAGAGCTTAATTGAGTTCCAAACTGAGAAAATAAAATATTTCACACAGTGATTTATAAATAATACAGTGTTAAATGTGTCTATTTAGAAATCAGCCCCACTGATTAAGGGAATAAGGACTGTAGCCTAATTTTATGACTGAGCTCATAGCCCAATAATATAGTACATATTATTCAAGAGGAAGTTTTTAATTATTTATAAAGAATATATAAATAGATGGCTTATGACTGTTAGCATTAATAGGAGTTAAGATGACATATGTAAAGAATATGCAATGAAAATGTTGAATCTATTCAGCAGATTGTTAGAAAACTGAATTAATTAGTAGATTGTGGAAATGTTGTTGAGGTAATGTATCTCAATTTCAACAAAGTATATTTCAAAATAATCCATGATATTCTGTTTAGCAATTTAGTTAAGTGTAGTCTAGATTGCATGGCAATTACACAGATAAATAGCTGGCTCAAACGTTTTACACAAAGAATATTCATCAACTATTTCGCATAAAACTTAACCATAGTGTTTGATGCTAAGCCCCGTATTTTTTTAATTATTTAAATGAAGAGATAGGGGGACTGCTTGTCAAATATGCCAATGACACAACATTGAATCATGATAGATTAAAAAATGTGCTGAAAATAACAATTAAATTCAACAGAGGCAAATGAAAAGGCTTTCATTTAGGAAACAGGAATCAAATGATAGTCTTTAGGTACCTAGCTACCTAGTTTGAGAATAAGATTTGTGGAAAATTAATTGTTTATACATTATACGTGATACTTGATTTCACTGCAAAGAAAGGAAATATAAATTTATATCAGAAGTATAGTTTTCTAAATTATAGGAAATAATAGTTCTAATTTATTCTGCACATAAATCCTTCCTAGGGTATTATGTTGACTTTTAGGCACCAACTTTACGAAGGTTTAAATGAACTGGAATAAGTTACAAAAAAGCAGAAACTTGGATATTTTTAGTGTAGGGAAGAGAACACTTAAGAGTGACAACACTCTTCAAATAACAAGATGTTACACAAAAGAAAATTAAGATTGTAGGATATGAAATAATAGATTTAAGTTCAGATTGGATGCAAGAACAATTCAATTACCAAGAGTGATCTCCCATTCATTATATATTGAATGTATTCAGGTGGATTTAGATTTAATTTGAATTCCTGCATGAAGCAGGAAATTGAACTCAAGGTGTCTATGATTCTATGAAGCTTGGATGGGCTATCATTGTGAAGAGAGGGTTGCATCATTTCCATGTCTTATATATATTTTCAGTGTTGGCTGCTCTGTGAAAGTTGCAATTTTGGGGGGGTAGGGGCAATTGATTCCAGGTACAATTCAAAGTTCTGGTTGTCACCTTTAAAACCCTTCATGGCTTGGGGCAAGGTTATCTGAGGTATTGTCTCTTGCTGGTTACATTTACCTGACCCATCAGAGCGGTGAGGCAGGGAGGGTCCTCCATCCCTGAGGGAGATACACCTGGTGGGACCCAGAAGAAGGGTCTTCTCTGTGGTGGCTCCCTCTCTCTGGAACATCATTCCACCAGAGATTAGAATGGCCCCCTCTCTAATACTCTTCTGGAAGGCACTGAAGACCTGGTTCTGCCAGAGGGCCTGGGGAACTCAGAGCGGGATGGAGCTCATCAAATGGCTCGTGTGAGCTGCTGTAGTTGGGGTGGGGGTAAGAGTTGGGGGTGATTTTTCCCCCCAGATTTTGTTCTATTGTACTTTATTAATTTATTTGATTATTTTTGTTAGTTTTTATTGTTTTTTTGGTTTTAAATATGGTTTTACATTCTGTAAGCCGCCTCAAGTCACCATGGGCGAATAGGCGGCAATATAAATTCAATAAATAAATAAATTGACTTATTCCTAATTGCTTTGAAAACTTTAACTGAAATTAATGAAGACCATTTTGTTTTATGCTGCTTCCAATTGAGCCCAGGAGGACTATATGGCTGAAAAATATGGGATATATTTTTAAGTACATTTGTTGTGTCATCATCTTTAGAACAGATTCAGATATGTAGAGGCAAGAACTGATCACCCTTTTCTGTTGCAGAGGAGTCTTTGGAAGGGAAGAAAATTTCACAAGATCACCCACCAAAACCACATAACAAGAAACACAGTAAGACAGCTATTCTTGGATTTCTACCCTATGAGGGGGACATTAAAGACTTATGGAATGTACTGTATACTTTAATATCAGAGATATTAAATTTTAAATGTAATACATAGAATAAGAACATTAGTGAAATAGGTTTGAGATAAATGAATAAATTTGAGTTAAGAATATGAGCTTATTACATTAATTAAGGTTTAAGTTCAGTTAGGTGTGCAGGAGGATTAAAACTGTCAAGATAGAGATTGTAATGCTGAGATCCAAACACTGCCTTTCGTATGTGTGTTGTCATTACATGGATGTATAATGGGGTGGGACTGCAATTGTGATACCAATTTCCTGCTTTGCCCCCCCCCCCCCCCCCACCTTCCACAAATTCCAATGATTAACTCTAGTGTTTGGAACCAGCCAAGAAAGTATAGGAAGGACTTTTTAAAAAGAAATATTAGGAATTCCTAAAATGTATACCCATCACCGTTTGTTTTTCAACATAAATAATGTTTCCTCTGAACATTATTTCATTATAGCTCCTCGAGGAACTCACTTGTGGGAGTTTATCAGAGACATTCTCCTTCATCCAGAGAAGAATCCTGGGTTGATAAAATGGGAGGATCGGTCAGAAGGCATCTTCCGATTCTTAAAATCAGAGGCAGTGGCTCAACTATGGGGAAAGAAGAAGAACAACAGTAGCATGACTTATGAGAAACTCAGCCGTGCCATGAGGTAACAAAATGTTGCTTAAAAAAATAACTGCCTTTAATCTTGTTGGCAATGACAAGCAAAGAGTCAGAGTATGCTAAAATCACAGGGGAATTTTTAAAATGTAAAATAGTGTGAAGTAGAAGCTATTTTCCTATGGCATAATTTCCTCCTGAATTTTTTTTTCTGATCCAAGGATACTGGTTGAATTGATGTGGCAAGATGGGAAATCTAAGATCCTTGCTCTGAGGGCTCCCCCCACCACAACCTGGAAAACCACATTATATAGCTAGAAAGATTGCCAAATTGTCTTCACATGGACACAGAGATTTTGTTAGTTATGAGAAAGTGTTGACTCCTTGACTAAATAATGACTCACCATTTGTCTTTAAGTCCCACATGTACGGACTCTGCAAGTCCTCCTGAATCATCAGAAACATTCACAGTTGCAATTTCTTCTCAATGTAATAATCTGCTTATCATACTTCAGATATTAATCATATGATTTCGCCTTAATACAGGAATGGCATCAGCTTGCTGGTCGGTTTCATTTCCTGCCCAAATTTCCTTAGATAAAGAGAACCTTGCATATCATACCATGTTCAAGGAATTTTGCATTCAATAAGTGTAATTTGTCACTGTAGGTTTTAGTTACAGATCTTCTATAGTTATTTTTCAATCAATGGGATTTTTTAAAAAAATATTTTATTTATTTAGAAAATTTATATAGCTGTCTACTTGCTTACAGTGACTTTAGGCAGCTTACAAACAATAAAAAACACAGTATATAAAAAACAATAAAAATAAAAAACTGTATAAAAACCCACTGGCAAAACCAAGTCTTCAGGGCCTTATGATAGAGTATCAACCCTAACCCTAGTTTAATTTCTGAAGGGAGGATCTTTCAAAGGGAGGGAGCCACCATGGAGAAGTCCCTTCTTCTGGGTCCTGCCAGATGTACCTCTTTAGTGGATGGGACCTGCAACATTCCTTGCCTCCCTGCTCTAGTGGGTAAGGTGGATGTGACCAGCAAGAGATGCTCCTTCAAATAACCTGGTGCCAAGCCATGAAGGGCTTTAAAAGTGATAACCAGCACCTTGAATTGTACCCAGAAGTAAATCAGCAACCAATGCAGCTCTCACAGAGCAGTGATACATGTGCACACTAAAGTCTGCACAAAAATATACTGGCCACTGCATTTTGAACCAACTGGAGCTCTGGATGCTTTTCAAGGATAGCCCCATGTAGATTGTGTTGCAATTGTCAAGAATGGAAGGTGACTAGGGTATAGGTGAATATGAATAGGGATTGTTAGTTCGGGAAAGGGCATAACTGGCCCACAATCCTTAGTTGTGCAAAAGCCTGCTTGGCCATAACTACCACCTGTTCAAGCAAGTGTCACGGTACAGGAGAACCCCCAGATTATGCACTGGGTCTGTGTGGGGAAATGCCACCCTATCCAAAACCAAAGGTGGCAATTCTATTAGAATCAATATAAAGTGTACAGATATGTTCTATCTTATATGCAATGGGCTTATGCAAAGTAACTCAACACCTGATGAGATACTGGACTATTTTCTAATTTCATGTGAAAATAGCTTAAAAGCTAAGTCCAGTTACAAATAAAACTAAAAGAGGAAATGGTCAGAAAATGAATTTTTATTTATCTGATTTCATCATCTCCTTTTAACAGATACTATTATAAAAGAGAAATTCTTGAGCGTGTAGATGGCCGGAGACTGGTATATAAATTTGGGAAGAATGCCCGTGGCTGGAGAGAAAATGAAAACTAAGTACAACTTTAAAAACAGCTGTAGAAATCTTCACTGACAGGAAATCCTAGCGCATGTAAATATTCCAAAGACTGTTTTCTTCTATTTATGTACAAAAATTGGGGGCTGCAGAAAATCTACATCTAATGGGAAGAAGGAACACTATTGTTTGTTGAAGTTGTAACTATTTTATTTGAAATATGTCCTTTTATGGAGAGTATGTACACAGTTTTCTGTGACCTATGATAATACTGCATGTAAATGTATAAGGATGAGTTGCCTTTCTTGTAAAGATTTTAAAGAAAATGAATTCCAAAACAAATGTGATTTAGCATAATGCTGCAAGAGGCATTTGCTGTAGTGGGAGCAAATCACAGGGCATTACTTTATACTTAGGTATATCACTGCATTTTAGAGCACTAAGGATTTATAATATTTATCTCAGAATTGTATGAGATAGGTCTTTCCATTCAAAATATACATCTTTTTTCAAAGGCTGTCGAGTAGTGAAACACCAATGGTTAATTAAATCAAAGGCTGTTGAGTTATGGCTTCACTTTTTTTCTTGATTTTTTTTGCCCTTCTATACAAATATACATATATTTAATATGGCAATTTACGGTAGTCTGGATCTTTTTGTGGTCTTCCATTGAGAGTTGGATTTATCAGCTCATTCCATTCCTGAATAATTCTCTGTTGAAATAACTCCTAGAACATGAAGAATTGGGAATAATGGATGCTTTATTTGTAGACCTCAATAACTTTAGCTGAGCTTTGTAACCAGTCTTGAATGCTTGTGACTTGTAATGAAATTGTAGGTATCAGCAGCATAAAGCTGCCTTTCCTTAACCTGGAATCACCCAGGTTTTGGAACTACAAACAACTATGCAAACTGGACAACTTAATTCTAGTTCATCTGCCATGTTGAAGAATGTGTAATGACTGGCAACAAATATCCAGGAGTAATTTTTGGTTCTACTTGACCAAACTAAACTGGAGATTTTCTGCATCTAAAGCATTTGTTTAGTCAGTGACCTAGTGTATATTTGTATATGAACATAGATTTCTGTGCGTAGTCCTTGTTGCCCTCTGAACTTGTTTGTTTATCTGAACTTGTTTGTTTTTCTTGAAGACATTTCATTACCCTAACTAGGCATTGATGATGTTATCTAGTTAGAGTAATGAAACATCTGCAAGAAAACAAGACAGCTCAGAGAGCAACAAGGACCCCTCATTTCAACCTGGGTTACAAATGAGCTACAAATATTGAGCTACAATTATTCTCCTTTATTGATAGATGTCTCTGTGATAATGAAACTGTACTTTGAGATTAAGGTTTTACATTACATAAACCATTTCCTTCCATTTAGAAAGTTAATAATCTAAGATTATGTTTCAGTTTTTCTTCCCTTTCTCCCAGATGCCTAGTTTTTATTTTCTGGGGTGGTATGCCATATAGAAGAACATTCAGTCATGTAAGTTTCTTCGTGTAAGTTAAAATGATTCAGTACAAGCATTTACCAGCCCAAGAGCTACAATTAAAAATGGCTTCTTTGAGCAAATTAAACTTCAGCTATGAGACTTAAATCCAAACTTCTCTGAAACTTAAAGTTTCTGTATTCTCAGAAATGCCAGTTGAGTATTTTTTCGTAAATATATAACATATATTTGGAAACTTGTGGAAAAGAGTTTGCTTTTTGCAAAGTTGGTAGCTGCCCTTTCAACATTTGATGAAAAATACCCCCAAAGAAGGCAGCTAGAAAACATCTTTGCAGCCACAATTCCTGCCAAAACGTTTAGTTAGCAACACATCCATTATAGCTATGTTATATCTGAACTTTGCTTAAGGTGAGTGGGGCAGTTAATCTTATTTACAGGAGAAGCTGATAACCAGGGCAGCAGGTTTTAAAGTAAGCCCTTTCTGTTGACTGAATATTTACTGACTCACTAAATGAGATTTTTCCTCAGTTTCTCTCTGTTCTTTATTTTTGAGTCTCATCTAATGATCTTTTTGTGTAAAAATATCACATCTAATGTATTGGATTTCATACTGCCTTGTGTCATTGAGTCAAAGCAGTGTTATTGTAGAATATCTATAAGGATATGTCTATTTTTTTCACAGTGCAATCTACATACTCATTAGTTCTGTTGTCTTATGTCTAAGAACCTGGATGTAAAACTATAGTCTTAATATCACTGGGGGGAGGAATTTAAAAAATTAATGGCATTATTCTTCAACAATATGAGAATTAAAACTGCAACTCAGCTGCACACAATGTGAAGAATGCAGACAGCATTATTAATACAGATTTCTACAAGTTGGTGGCCTTCAGTGCATCCATGGGGAAATAAAGCCACCTGCTCTAAACCCCACCCCGTTTTTATTTACTTTGTGATATACATAAAAAAATGCCAGGATTTCAGTTGGAAATCAGAGTGTTACTCTTGATTTGTTGACTCTTCTTTTACTAACATCCCTGGTGCCCTTTATGCATGTTGCATTCTTCTGTGTTATTGAAAGACCTCTGGGACTTGCAGTTCAATCTAGTTGGGTTAGATACAGTATGTTAGTCTTCCATGTACTCTGATCATGGAGTCTAATAGAAATCTCAATCCATATTAACTTCTGGTTGCCATTTTAACTTTTATTTACTTGCCCAACTTGTCTTGCTTTTGAGTTTTTGGAAACAATCCATGCTGCTATTAGGCATTTATCATCCAAAATATATATTCTTCTTAGAATTGATGAGTTCTATCATAGCAATACATTTCTAACTCCTCCTTATTTTGGAGTGGTATATTGTACTAAATTATCTTTGTGATATAGTATATAGCTCATATTTATATTACATTGGTAAACTGCTGGCCCTTCTTTCCTTCCAGACAAACTTGGGAATTAGAATATGTGAGTAGATTTTAAAATCCATAATTAGAGCTTTTTGGAATTGAAAACATGTTTGAAAAATACTTTTCTAAAAAAGTTTTCCACTGTTAAGCCTGCTCTCTTTAACTTCAGTTCTGTGAGTCATAATATAAATTAAAACTGATCTTTCAGCATAATCAGGATATTAATAAAATAAATTTGAAGCATAAGTATGTGATTAAACCAAATAGGTCTATAATATGAATTACATTTAGAGTACAATTTTACAACATTCACAGGTGCATTTATTAACCCCTTGGTATTAACAGAGTTAGATTTCCCCATTGTTGTCACTTTAAAAATTCAGTTTGTCATTGAAATTTAATTCACTTTGAAAAGAGGCTTCGTATAACATTGACCTAGCTAGAAAAAGGGCCATCAATATATAAAATGGTACCAGCTTGCCAAGCAGATGCAACCACAGCCAACCATAGCGAACCTTTTACAAATTCTAATTAAAGGCTCCAATAAAGATATGAGTGTAGCAAATTGCTATTTAAATATAAAGGCATTGATGAGATTGCTTTTATAATGTTTGCAAAGAACAATTTTTTTAGAAGTGTATTTCACATGAATAAAATATGTATATATTTTTATGGTGGCACAATTTTTCAAATGTATAAATGTGAATACATTTTAACTCAGATGTATAAAGATCTACAAATGCATTGCAGTATTTATACAGATGAACATAAATCACCTGGGAAAAAGAATTTGCTGATGTATTTATTGTGCAGCTTTGATTAAGAAGTAGTTTGTGCATCATGCTGCCTAGTTTTGTAGGCTTTGTATTCATAACTAAGTTTGAATGTTTAGCTACTACAAGGTAAGTATCCCTGAAATTGCAGCCACTGTGTACTTGAAAAAGTCTGTGAAGAAACACATATTATTATAGCTTTCTTGTTGCTGAAAAACAACTCAAAGCTCTTTCTAGCTTCACCATTTATAAGTTTTCTAGAAGTGCATTTTTATGTCAGATTGAATGACTGTCACAGAAATGCCATAGCATTCCTAATATTGTTTCTATCCACAGAAATGCTAATCAAAACAACGTGTTTGTTTCTCAAAATAATAGTTTAGTAATCATTCAAACTTCCCTCTATAGAAATTGCTTTAGAATGAAATTTTATGCGTTCATCAATATGATTAGATTTAATAAAAAGTGGGAAACTAAATGGAATCATAGTACAGAGGTCTTTCATCAGAACATTTTTTAAAAAAGTTGCTTGTATCTGTCAATTGTATGTGTGTGTGTGTGTTTACTGTTAATTTATGGCCTTACAATTTAAACGAAGCTTGTAATTTATAATAATATGTGCATCTATGGCATAAAATAAACCAAGCACTGGGGGAGCTCTGATCAGGTGTAAAAGGAGGCTATAATGGAACTTGAATTAAATTGGGCGAAGGATACATCCAGTAATCATTCTTCCTTACATTATTTTCCCATTTTAAATTGCCTCTGCAAAAGCAGCTATTTGCTATAAAGTACTGGCACATTTTCCAGGATTGGAAATTAAAAGGTCAAGGAAAGAATAACAGAGAAACTCACGAAGAAGAAAAAGACTGAATGTTAAATACGTCATTTTCTTGCCCCATTGTGGAATTCTATTGAATAAAAGGATGGGGAAAATTGAAGTGGATCTGCTTACAGATCTTGCATCTTATTGCCTCCTTTATATTGTTTAATTCAGGGGTGGGATTCTACCCGTTCGCACATATTCTGTAGAACCAGTTGTTAACATTCTAAGCAGTTCAGAGAACCGGTTGTTAGAAGAAATTACTGGTCTAATCCTGTAAGGAAGGCAGGAAGGAAACATTCTGGTATTGCTTTCAGAAATTGCCTCTCCATTAACCCTTATTACATTCTTGGCAGGACTAGACTTCCTGTCTCAGGAACATCTCTGGGGTTTTTTTCCCCTTCCTTTGCTGGTACTTTGCTTGTGTGGAGTGACCATTCAAAGTTACAATGGCATTGAAAAACGTGACTGATGACTATTTTTCACACTTATTGAGCCAATAACATGACCACCAAGCCATGTCCACCCAGTCACATGACCACCAAGCCATGCCCACCATCTAAGCCACACCCACAGAACCGGTTGTTAAAAATTTGAATCCCACTCCTGGTTTAATTGTATTGTATTTTTAAACTTTCTATGGTCTCATTAACATTTATGACTGTTGCATTGTCCTGGGGTCATGTGATCACCTTTTGTGACCTTCTGACAAGCAAAGTCAATGAAGAAGCCAGATTCACTTAATATCCGTGATACTAAGTTAATAATTGCAGTGATTCACTTAACAACGATGGTAAGAAAGATCATAAAATGGGGGAGAAGGCAACTTAATAACTGTCTTGCTTGGCATCAGAAATTTTGGGTTGTTGTGCCCAAATTGTGATCGTAAGTCAAGGACTACCTGTAATGTGAGTTATTACATTAAAAAAAAACATTCATGGCACACATAAATTGTCACAAGACTATGCAGGTATTGAGAAGAATGGAAGGATTTTACAAAAGGAAATAAATAAAAGGAATATGTCACTCTCAGAAATTCCATAAGTGTGAATATTTTATTTTTTCCCCATGAGTATTTGTGGTTCAGTCTTCAGAATGAGAATTCTCTTGCCAAAAAACAATCTGAAAAC